AATCCCATCTGCTCATGACATCAACTCCAGAGCTCCCAGATGTGTCTGGGTGGAGCATCCCCACGGCTCGGGAAGCAGCGTCTGTGGCTGTTCCAGAGCTCATGGAGCACCTTTCCCAGGCTGCCTGCTCCTGCTCTTTGCTGCCAAGGGCTTGTTTATGTAGGATGCTCTGTGGGTGGGATGTGGTTTTGTCACCACTCCATTGTTGGACTCTGTTTGGGCACTCTGCCCAAGGATGATTAATGATGTTTTGAATTGAGGCTCTGAGGTGCTTGCAGGCGTACTGCAGGTACCAGAAGTAAAAGAGGTGTTGTTAGCATCAAGGTACTTCAGTGTTATATCAAGTGTAATCAGAAGTGAATTAATTAAAGCAATGTGTACATGTAAGTCCTTTTATAATGGATGTTCAAACAACTCATATCGTATAGTTTAGAGCTCAGCATTTCAGACTTTTGTAACCCTCTCTTCCCTGTGTGAAGGCAGAGGATGCCAGGGCTGCTATCAGAGGACAAACCTCTCCTGCAAAGGTCCTTTTGTCAAACACAGCTCTTAAAACAAGTTAGGAAGTTGTGTGCATTTGTTGATCCTGGCTCCAGCATATTTCAGGGTTAATTTTTATAGCTCACACAACTAGTGTAGGATGAGATCTAATGGTTGCTTGGGTTTCATCTGACCTTGGAGTGAGCAAAAATCTGTAGAAAAATTGTATTTATTGTTGGTCTCAGCTCTACCAGGATTAAACTTTCTTTTTGCAGCACGACATACCCTTGACGTGGTTGTCACTTAGAAAAATTGCCTGGAAATACATCTGGCTCTTCTGTCCAACAGCTCAGGCTTTGTGAGGCTGGTGATACTTCACCCCACAGAGAGGAGACACAAATTTGGATGGAGGAGGGTTTGACAGAATTGCAGGGTGACCAGAGATACAGATCCTAAGCTGTAGATTCAGTTTGACAAGCAGAGCTAAATCCTTATTTTTTTCAAGTTGAAAACCCCTGTTTTGGTGAACTTGGCAGCAGTGGGGCTCGAGCTGGGGGTGTTGCTAGCCCAGCTGTGGAGGAGACCACAGCTGGCAGGGCTGTTCCATGGGAAGCAGAAGGTGAGGAACTGAAACTGCAGCTTCATCTCAGCTGCATCAGGGTGATGGGTGACTTGGGCGACCCTAGACCCGTGTTTTGGCTCTGACAGAAGCTGTTCTGGCCCCACCTGTGTGGAGGAGGCTGGGAAGCTGGGACTTGATGGAAACATGAATTGGACCTGGACCCTGCCTGGCACACATTTAAAGCTGTTTGCCCAGGATAGTGTGCTATTTTGATATGTGTGAAGCTAGTGACTTTGTTTTTCCAGCGTGCTGGAAAATGTATCAAACAAGGAGGAAATTAAAATGACCCCAAATGCTCAGAGCACTAAGAAAGGGGGCACTCAAAATCAATCCTCTGATCTTTTTGAACTAAACTCATGGTTTTCTGAGCTGCAACTCTGTGATTTGGACAGGACAGAAATGGAGATGGGTCAAAAGCTGAAAGTGTACCTAAATGTAAAACTTTGACATACTCCAGTATTAGCACTCCATGTGCTGCTCTGGTCTCTCAAGCTACTTTAGTTTACTGCTGGGGAAGGTTGAAAGGTGATTCAGTCATAGTTTACAAGTACCTAAAAAGGGAAGGGGTTTCTGGTTGCTAGATGGGATTCAAATTTACCAGAGAAAGGCAGAGATCTCTTGGCTGGAAGCCAAAGTTAGAGAAGTTCAGACTATGAATAAGAACTGCAGTTTAAACTTTTTACGAACGAAAACCAGAGGAAAGTCTTTGTCTGGAATTAAGCAGAGTCATCAGCAGTGAATGTCTCTAAATGAAGATTTCTGTGTTTTTCTGAAAGCAGCAGGAATTATGAAGTGAGGGTTTCCAGCCCAGAGCAGCCCATCCCAGAGACCAAGGCCAGGCTTCCCTTTTGCCCAGAGCAAGGCTCTGGATGCTGTTTCCAGGCTTGGGGCTCTGCCTGCTCTTCCCACACTGCTGTCCAAGCACAAGCCCTGCTGCACTGCAGCAGCAAGGGCACAGATGTGTCAGGGAGCACAGCCCTGCCTCTTTATGCACAGCCCTTTTCCCAGACACAGTCCAGAATATTTTGGGGCTGGATTCCCCTTTCACTGCTCTGTCTGATTCAGCTGGAGGATTGCAGTCCATGGAGTCCATGAAGTGTGGCCTGGAGCTGAATACACTGTCTCTTTACCTCCTGTATTGAGACACCAAAAACATGTAGACTGGGGTGGAAGGACGTTCTCCTCCCTTTTTCTGGGCAGGACTCTCTGCTGGAGGGGTGGGATGCCATGTGTTGTGCCAGCTCTTTGTTTTTTTGGATCTGCCTACTTAGCAATGTCCTGTAATCATCACTGGTGGCATACGCAGAGTTTTTGGTGAGACATGATTCATGTTGGTGGGGAGATCATGGAAATTTCCTTGCTTGTTCTTGGCCCCCTTCTTCAACAGGCTTCAGGCTTCTGGGGTTTGCTCTTCTCTTGCCAGCGTTTCGATGGAGAGGGGCAGGGCTGACACCCCTTTCTCCCAGCAGCTTCCAGTTTATCTTCCACCCAGGGTGATGGTAGCACATAGAACTATGGAAAGGAGATGAGAAGAGAATATTCTTTCACACCCCCAAGACTCAGTTGTTTTATCAGTTTTAACACCAGTTCAACTTCTTTATATCTTACTACCGGTTCTCGCTCATATCAGAATTCTTCACACCTGTGGCTTCTCTGAAATGAGACAAGAGTTGTCCCTTCAGTGACTCGTATCTCAGTCCAAATTAACCCATTTTATGTCCACATGGTGCCTGCTTCATAATTCTGCAGACCACCAGGCTGGAAATAAAATGAAACAGATGCAGCCACGTCAAGGTCAGGACCTTCCCTGTATTTAAGGTGTATGGATAATGTTGGCATGGGGCAGGGTGACCTCGGGGTACAATAGGAGCTAACTGACACTCATGTTCAGACAGAATAAATATTTGAGAGTCTATTTCTCTATTCCCCAAAATGACCCCTGTAAAAGCAAGGTCCTGTTTACCTTCCTGGCTCTCCATGCAGTGTTCTGAGAAGAGACCAGCTCTCTTCTCCCTTCACTGTCTTCCAGCTCTTCTGGGCAACTCATTTCCAGGCAAGGAGACAAGGATCAGGGATACAGCCTTCACAAAACCCATGACACCTTGGATTTTCACAGAATTCCTAAAATTTGGTGAAAGCTGAGATAATTTCTGGTCATAAGCCTCTGTTTGTGCCAAAGCACAGTGACCAGGGAAGCAGTGAGAGATGTCAGTGCCCAGCCTGCAATGACTGCCTGCAGCCCACCCAATGGTTTTGTGCCTGTCCCATTAGAATCATGAAATGGTTTGGGCTTAAATAAACTTAAAACTCATCTCATTCCAGCCCCCTGCCATGGGTAGGGACACCTTCCACTATCCCAGGTTGCTCCAAGCCCTGTCCAACCTGGCCTTGGACACTTCCAGGGATGGGGCAGCCACACTTCTGTGGCCAGCAGCTGTGAGGTCTGACGTGCCTGTGACCAGCCCTGCCACGTTCCCCCCCCACAAGCCCTGGGCTTGCCTTTCAGTCACTGTGAGCTTTGCTTGGCTAACTCCTGTTACCCTGAACTGTTCAATTTCTATCCATGTTGGGATCCTTTTGATTAAGGACAATTTATCTTCTCATTCCCATCAGGAATATGAGAGTGCTGAGAGTTTCCTGCCACAGAAGCATATTCCTGACAATCGCTGTGCTTTTTATTATTTTTTGTAAGATCCCTTTTGGTGAGAACAGTCTTTAAATACTATCAACCTACACTAACTTAGTTTGGCATGAAGAACTAGAGGAGACATACAAAGGTCTGTAGAACAGTGACTGCTCTAATGAAACCCATCCAGTCCCTCCATCTTTGAGTGCTCTGCCATTTCGCAAGATCAGAATGCACAAAGCAATTAGAATGTGGTTTGTGCATATTAGAGAGAGGAAATTCTCTATCTGTAACACACCTCAGATAAGGAGAAGCCATTGTTACCAATATTCTTAAGGCAAAACCAGCAAGTTGCTGTTTCTTTTTTTAAGGTTAGTGCTGAGAAAGAAAAAGGGAGCTAGAAGAGTGCAGAGCTGTCAGTTGAAAGAAAAATTGCAAGCCTGCTAATCCTTTCTTGTCAGGTTTAATATAAAGCCTGGCAGAGATTGATAAGAAGTGTCTCCCTCTCTGTCTGATGTTCCAGGTGCATGGTAAAAATCACCTCTCTGAAACACCCACGTGCAGGGCTCCAGGATGGAAAGGCTGCTGGCCAGCCTGACACTGCTGGCATAAAACCATTTGAAATACCTATTCTTTCACTTTTCTGAAGAATGGCTGTTCCTCTTCACTCCTTACATATGCAGGATTTTCTTGCAGCCCCTGTCAGTGGCTATTGCTCTGCTGATGTTGAGCTGAACAAGGTCTCTGCAGCAGATTCGGAGCATCTGGGGCACAGGGCCCTGCTCCCTGTGACCTGCCTCTGCTCCATCTGCACTAAAACATTCTGGCTGGGGCTGCTGGGGCTGTGGGACTGGCAGCACACCCACGGCAGCCACAAAGGTCATGTAGGTGTTGGCAATCTGCAGCAGCAATGGCCAGGAGCAGGAGAAAAATAGTCCCTGGAGAGCTTGAGGTGTGTGCATGGTGGGAGAGCGTGGAGAGCTCAGCAAAGCTCTGCAGGGACAGGAGACACGGGGTCCTGCCTGCTGTGGAACCATCAAATCTGGTCGTGTGGAGCCTCCAGAGCCAGGGGCTCCCTCTGTTCCCTGTGTGGACGTTTCTGACTCCACGCTCCTTCCTGTGTGCTGCTTTCCCTGGGCAGCCCCTCCCCATCACCCCATGGCAGTGGGGGCAGCAGGAGCTCCCCAGGGGAGGGGGCTTGGGGGGCTCCTCTTGTGTGTGCACAGCTCTGAGAGGGGCAGGTTTCACAGTGTCCCCTTTCTCTTTCCCTAGCTGTTCCTCCCAAACTGAAGAAACTGAAAAGCCCAAATGTTCACGTGGGCGAGAAGATTTCCCTGAAATGTGAGGCAACTGCTGGAAACCCTCAGCCGTCCTACAAATGGTTTAAAGATGGGAAGGAGCTGAAGAAGAGCAAAGACATCCGGATCAAGTATGGGAATGGGAAGTAAGTATGACACAGGGCTGCTCTGCCTCTGCTCACGCAGGGTCTGGGTCTGGGGCCACCTGGCTGGAGGTGCTGCTGTGCTCCCCAAGTCTCTGCTGAGCAGCACTGAGGGCTCCCTCAGAGCCACAGGACCACGCTCAGCCCAGTTACCATGCCCAGGAGAGTGAGCAAGATCCCCAGTGTCCTCAGAGAGTCATGGGGAGAGGAGCAGGGCATGCACAGAGAAGGTGTTGGCCTTGTAGATGGGCTGTCCTGGGGTCAGGGAGGCTTTGGATACCTGAGACTGGTGTCTTGTGACATGGGGAGGCTTTCCCTGGTAGCTGTGGGCAGCTCAGGTTGCCTGGGGTGACTCCTGCTCTGTGGTTAGGGGTGGGATGCAGAACATAGCCAAACCCAGCTGTTGCCCCACCACTCAGCAGCAGGGCTGTGGGAGGAATTGGTTTGTTCCCTCCTGAATTTAGGTGGACACAGAAGCATTTAAGGCCACTGAAAAATCACAGAATGACAAATTAATGCTGGAAGGGACCTCTGGAGATTATCCAGTTCAACCCCCCTGCCAAGGCAGGATCACCTGAAGCAGGTAACGTAAGAACATGTCCAGGTGGGGTTGGAATGTCTCCAGAGAAGGAGACTCCACACCCTTCCTGGGCAGCTGTTGCAGTGTTCTGCCACCCTCAGCATAAAGAAATTCTCCCCCATGCTGGGATGGAACTTTTCATGGTTTAGTTTATGGCTACTGCTCCTTGTCCTGTCACTGGGCAGCTCTGGAGAGTCTGGCACCATCCTCTGACACCTCTTGAGAGATCTTTATGTGCATTAATGAGATCCCCTCAGTCTTCTCTACACTGAGCAGGGCTGAGATGCAAAATGACCTCACAACACTGATTGGGGTCATGGTCACATGCACAGAGCTTGTCCTGTGCAAATCCTTTCATCTATCCACCCCAGGGCAAGCTCCCTCACATCTGCCCCGAAGTCCCCACCCAGCAAAGCTCTCAGGTGCTCTCAGTGACTGTCACCTTCAGCAGCACCTCATTCAGGCAGGGCTAAAACACCTGCAGAAAGAGGCCCCAGTGACCAAGCTATGGGGTTCTCACTGGGAATGGATTTAAATGAATCCATGTTGATATTTCTGAAGGCCCGGTATTTACATATGATGTATCCTAAAATTATTCCATAATCATGGCTATGCTTGCATTCCTACATCCTGACCTAGCCAGCAAAGTCAGCTTGCAAGTGCCCGACCCCTTGGAAAATTTGATGCTAATTCTTTGCTAGCATATGTTCTGGGTGTGTGAATAACAGCTCATTATGGACTTGTTAGAGTAGCAATTTTTAAAATTAGAAACCACTACCAATCAGAAAAAAATCAGTGTTTGAACGGGGCGTTGCCAATTGCCTTAATTTAAATTCAGTCCTGTTGCGTTTGGTTTCAGAGTCACACCCAAGATAGGTGACCTCCATTGTAATAATTCTAGGTCTTGTGGCTGTTTTGGGATGAGGCAGTGAGGTGGTCAGTGCATCCAGGATATCTGGGTGCTGCCTGCTCAGGAGGGGCTCTGTGGGGTCTTGGGCAGCAGAGACAGGGCAGGGCTGTGCCTGCCTCGCTGCTCTGCTGCCCTCACTGGTTTTGGTGGCCTTTGCCAGTCTTGTGGCCTTGGTTGTTTAGCAATGGCTGCCGGGGCTGGGATGCCCTGGGGAAATGTCTGCAGCACGCTCTGCAGCCAGCTGTGCGAGTCCTGCCTGCCCAGGGTGTTGGGCAGCGATTTCCCCCAGAGCTGGAGTGCATCCAGCCCCAGAGCAGACACCCAGCACTGCCCTGCTGCCCTCCCAGTTATCCCAGCCCTTCCTCACCTCATGCCACCCTGTGTCCAGCAGGAAGCTGTGGCAGGATGGCATCCCACCCCCAGCGATGGGGACACGCAGTCCCTGGGCCAGGGACAGAAACAAATGGAAGGAAGTTGGTCCCCTTTCCTCAGGACACTGCTGTCTAGTCATAATTTTGCATTTACCAGTTTCCATGGCAACATGTCGGTTCTCCAGTGAGAGGCCAAAGATGTGTGGTGCTGGAAGGGCTTCCTGCTGGCAAAATAAGCCTGAGGATAAACATTTTAAGGAAAGCCGAGCAGCTGCCTCCTCCAGTGTCTGAGACTCCCTCAGCAGCAAAGCCCAAAGCATCCCCAGAATTTTTTCCCATCCCAGCTTCTGCTCCCTGCTGCCATGAAGATGTGCCTGTCTTGTGCTGGGACCAGGCTGTGGAGACTGGACTCAAGCAGCTGTTGAGCAGCAACAAAAGGAAATGGCCTCAAGCTGTGCTAAGGAGGGTTTGGATATTAGGGAAAACATCATCACTGAAATAGTGGCCAGGCATTGGAACAGGCTGCCCAGGGAAATGGTGGAAGTGCTCAAAAACTGTGTGGATGTGTCACTTGGGGACACGGTTCATTGGTGGCCTTGGCAGTGCTGGGGGAATGGTTGGACTCGGTGATCTCAGAGGGCTTTTCCAACCCAAATGATTTTGTTGCTCTGTGGGACAGCTGTGGGATAATTACCTCTCAGTGAGCATTTGCCCCTTGTTTAGCAGTGCAGGAACACTTCCCTGAGAGGATCTGGGTGGGTCTGTGCACACCCACTCTGGCATTCCCACCTCTGTCCCCTGCACCATGTTTGCTGGGCCCCAGAACTGAAAATTTCAAGGCAGAGTGTCCACTGGCATTGGACCTGCCTCCCTCTGGTCTTGACTGCATGGAACAAACGCTAAAAACTGCTCAGAGCAGGCTGAGGGCTGAGAGAGCCCTCGTGACTTTGATGTCTTCATTATGCAGCTGTCTGGGCCAAGTTGAGTGGAGGGACATGTGATACGGGTGCAGAGCATTACTTCCAGCCTGTTGGGAGGGGACTCCAGGGGAGGATAAGCATCCCAAATTGTAAATCTCTGAAAGGACATCTTACTCTATAACGATTATTTTAAGAATAATGGGATTTATACATCTGGCTCCACTTAGAGATAACACTGGTCTCCAGATAATCCTCTGTGCTTCCCTTCAGTTCAGAGTGGGGATTTCAGAGGGACAGAAATGGAGCCCTGGGGAGGGACCTTCACAGGGAAAGAACACAAGGCGAAAACTTCTCAGGCTGTGCAGGACCTGGCCAGGTGCACAGGATCATTTCTTCAGAAGTGTAGTCCAAAGACCTGATTTTCTGCTGGAGACAAGCCAAAAGAGCCCTCCAGCAAAGTGATGTCCACAGTGTTTCCCTTGGCACTGTGAGGCCCTGGCAGAGCTGGGCACAGGTGAAATCTGTCCCCAGCACTGAGATCTTTAGCATGCAGAGGGTTAGGATGGGAGACAAGAACATGGTTGCCCTCTGTGATTCATTCCTGGCTTTTTTCCCTGTGTGTTTAAAGAGCCTTGAGGTTTCTAACTAGAAAGTATGACTGAAGCATTTTTTTTTGGTGATTGGGTTTTTGTTTGATCTCTAGAAGAGGGGATCTCTTTCAAAATAAGGGATGTATATGTTGTAAGGAGGAGAGGAGCACTTAACTACATGTCAGCTCTTCAACTTTTCCATCAATCATTTCCCTCTTCTTTTTAAACTTACCGGCAAAGCTTCTAGTGCCATCAGGCAGAGGAGTCAAGTTTTTTTAATGGATATTTGCTGGAGGGAGGGGAACAATTCTGATTCCTCCTTTCTGAACTTCATGTTCCATCTGTAATTAGTGACAGGCTGGGGCAAGCCTGGCTTGCACGAAGGGGAAACCTCTTTAAGGTGGAAGAAATTATTGGCTGGAATTTTATCTCCATCTCCATTTAAATAAAACACAGTTGATGGGAAACCCAGAGAAATTACCCAGAAAGAATTGCCTGTGGTAGTGGAAATACAGCCTAGTGAATGGCTCTCCCCCCAGGCTGCTAAAGTGATGCCATTTTTGGCTGAGTGTGTCTGAGGTCTGATTGAGGCTCCCAAGAAGTTCAGGTTGGGTTTTAACTTTCTGACTATTCTGGCAAATGGTCAAGTGCCAGCTGTGGAGGAAGCCAAGGGAGTTTTTGCTTGTGGAGGTGTAGAGAACCTTCCCTTCCTGAACTCATGCTCAAAGCTCAGCCTGGGACATGCAGATGTTCAGCTGGAGCCCAGGAGCCTGGGGGTCCCCGAGCTGTGCCTGTCCTTACAGCCCTTTCCCTTTGTGTGCTCTTCTACCAAGGGACGCTGCTGGGGTGATGAAGTAGGCGTATCATTGATTGGGGAGGGTTGGCAGTTCAGTTTGGGACAGGCTGACCATATGACATCCCTTGGGAGTAGTGTCCTACTTTCAGTATCACCAGGAATCCCTATTGTTAGCCTGTAAGTGGAGCCAAGGGATCCCCTCCTCTCCTGTTTCTGTACAGTAGTCCCTCAGGCAATGCCACTTGAGCAGATTCATTGCTGGGGTCTTCCTTGTAGGGCTCCCAATTGTAGATTATTCCCCACCCACAATGAATGGGGCTGTGGTCTTCCCTGTACAGCTCACTGCACTGGAATGAAGGCCAAAAAAAAAAAAAAATAATGCCAAAGCAGCAGGGGAACGAGAGTGCCAATAATGATAAATGATTTCCTAATTAAGCCTGGAGACAAGGAGGGGCAAAGAGGACTGTTGAAGCCTTGTGGGAGCCAGAGTGAACCCAAGCAGGCTATACCACCACTCTGGCAGGGGTCTTTGGGCTGACATTTTTAAACAAAGGAAAAAGCTCATTTGACAATGGATCTTGCAAGAGCAATTCCAGATGCCTTGAAGCGAAGACTCTTCTCAAGCACCGGTGTTGTTATAATCACCAGGGGAGCTGCTGCCTTGCTAACTCTCACATGTCATTATAAGTCTCCAATACTTGGGATTTGGTTTTAGCTGCTGAAGGCACTTCATTGGAGGGGGGTGTGAAGGAGAGCATCTCCTTTGTTTGTTTGCTTGTTGTTTTAGAGGAGATGATGGACATCATCTTGGCCAATGCACCTGGGACTGAACCAGG